ATACTGGCAAATAATAGGATTGGTGATAATTATTTTGATAGTCAAGTGAAGTGGGTATAAGATCATATTAGACAATCCATTGGGGGTCTGGAATCATCAAATGGTTAAGAACCACTGCTCTACATAAACACATTATTCTTTTTTGGAATCAAGATGATCCTGGAATTGAAAATCTGTCCTTCAACTGATACTTGAAAATCCAGCATTGGTATTTGTGTCCGGATGACGAGGGAATACCTAAAAATTCAATTCTTAATTTATATTGAGATAAAGTAAAACAAAGACTTTGGGAATTTAACATTTTTGTGTTAAATTATGTTTAAAGTATTTTCAAACCTTTTATTTCTTCAAAATGACAAAGAATCAGAGTTATAGTGACAGATTTCGTGACTTGAGGTTTTGAAGTTCTACAGAGTTTGTGATTTGAAGAACTCAGTTCACGGCCTGAACTGGAATTTCAGCCGAAATCGAAGCTTCGACCCAAATCGTTCTTTCAGCCGGAATTGGGTTTATAGTCCGAATCAGAGTTAATGTCAGGTTCTGAAGATCCATGGAATAAATTAAGGAATTCATAGTTATTTCTTCGAAATTATCATGACTGTTTTCTAAGCTTGACATATATATATATATATATATATATATATATATATATATATATATATATATACGTGTGTGTGTGTTTGCTGAATGATGTAAACTCGTATTGGCACAGTTATAATGGAAGTCAATCCGTTCAGCACAGATGTCATCTATAAAATGCCTTAAATTTAGAAATCTCTTCTATATAGCAAACAAAGCTTTTATATAGCTTTTATGTAGCTAGTAAAGATTTTACATAACTTTTATACAGCTATGTAAAGCTTTTATATAGCTTTAATATAGCTCGTAAAGCTTTATATAGCTTTTATATAGTTCTTAAATCTTTTATATCTTTAATATATCTTTTATATAGCTCGTAAAGCTTTCATATAGCTCTTAAAGTTTGTATATAGTTAGTAAAGCTTGTATATTGTTTTTATATAACTCCTGCAACTTTTATATAGCTTTCATATAGCTCGTAAAGTTTTATATACCTTTTATATAGCATTTATATAGCGTGTTCAATTTTTTTTATAGATTTTATATAACTCGTAAAGCTATTATAGAACTTTTATATTGCTTGTAAAGCTTTATATAGCTCGTGAAGCTTTTATATAGTTTTCATATAGCTCGTAAAACTTTTATATAGATTTTATATAGCTCTTATATAGCTTGTAAAGCTTTTATATATCTTTTATATAGCTCGTAAAGCTTTTATATAACTTTTATATTGTTCGTAAATCTTTTATATAGCTTTTATATAGCTTGGACATCTTTTTATATAACTTTTATATAGTTCCTAAAACTTTTATATAGCTCTTAAGCTTTTATATAACTTTTATATTGCTTATAAATCTTTTATATAGCTTTTATATAGCTTGGACATCTTTATAACTTTTATATAGTTCGTAAAACTTTTATATAGCTCTTAAAGTTTTTATATAACTTTTATATATCTCGTAAAGCTTTTATATAGCATGTAAAGTTTATTTGAAGGTTAAAATTATTTCAGCATGAAGCCAAGATAATGATTTTTTTACAAGTCAATGCTCCTTCGTATTTCACATCGATGAAAACTGATAAATAAAATAAATTTCAAAGATATTCGCTTGACGAAGTAACTTGCTTATTCACTTGACAATAATCCGAGTGATAAACTTGTGGGCATTCTGTAGCGGAAGGTTTTAAAATGGCGGATAGCAATTTCTCTGCAAAGATGAACTTTCGAATGCTATTCTAGGTTCTGACAAAAATTAATGGCTGAACGACTTCTAAAACTAGTTTCATAACATGCAATATGCATTCCTATTAATCTTTATAACGTTATCTTCATTATAATGGTAATGTTTTCAATATTTTGTTCAAAATATTTGTCTACGTAATTTGTCTACGTAAACTTTATATGTGTTATGTGATTACTACAACTGTCAAAAAATATGAAATAAACAAATTTAAAGGAAGTTCATATTGGTTATTATTTAGCAGTAAATAAACTAATAATATATAAGCTACAAAACATTTTTAGTTAATAGCTGAATAATCTGGCTTCATAAATTAAACCTTAACAAACCAGATTAAATTATTTAAATTAATGGTATATATATTTTCGAAGCTATACAAAGGATAAACTAAAATCCTAGAACATCCAAGAAGTATTTCAATTCCATAATTTTTTCAAAGGGTTGTATAATTTTTTAAATTACAACTTAATGTTTCGTGCAAATTTAGTAAACTGACTAATAAGGCAAAATACTTGGAAAATCCAGTAAAATTCTTAAAACTGTTGGCACATGTTAAGTTTGTCATTTAGTTACCTATAATTTACATATACACATGAGTAAATTAGAAAGTAAAGGCAATTTTGAAATTACGCGGTTAAATCAACAGGGAGGCACTGACGCGCGACACCGCGGGTGTATAA